TGTCTCACTTGAATCGATTATTACAATTCATAATTAAATCAAACATCTTGACAGTATGATATTTCATTACAACCAACACACTCCATCTATTAACTCTACTTTGTCTGGGCTAGTTCCCCTTGATATCATAAATCTACTTAAGGACATTACTTCATCTGCAATATTGGCATCAACTATTATTATCAAATTTCTTTTACACCTTAATTCACAAATTTACCATAATATTTAAATACCCTATTGTATCTCTCATTTTTCAATTCAATATTCTAATAATACTATATCTTCTTTACCAGTTTTATCTCTTTCTATCTATTAGTCTTTTCAACCCTTACCACTTACTATTGCCAGTGCTAAAATTAGATTATGGTATTCTTTATGGATCAAATATCAAACAAATTTAAACTATATTTACTAATTCACAAATCTAGATGAGCCATGGCCACTCTAGTTGGTTTAGGCTGCAGATAAACTAGTCTGAGTTTATTTTCTTGCTATCTTAGGATATAAAATTTAAATAGATTTTCTTCCTTGTAAAGATTTCTTTTCATTGTAAAAGAATTAAATTAAATTTTAATAAAGTCAGAGACATGGTTTTGCCATTAATATTCAAAAAAAAAATAAATAAAAATAATATTGCATTTGCAAGTATTTGTATTGATGTTATTTGTAATGCAGAATATATTCTGGATATGAATTATGGCAAGATTATATTATTCAAGAAATGAATTCCGCTCTTCAAGGAATGGAATCAAATGAATTAAAAGTATATGATTCTGATGCTAATTATTTAAAGAAAGATGAGGAATAAATATATAGTACTTTCTTATATTTTTACATTATTATTATAATAGGCTAATTGTATTAATCTAAATTTGGCATTCCTGTATAATTAATATGCATTAATATAAATCTTTACTTTTGCATATATATACAGACTATTTTACTGTATTAATTTATTTCAACACGCTAATTAAGTGTTTTGGTAATAGATCCCACATATACAGGTGGGTGACAAAAATATTTTTACATCTAAGGACTTGGCTTATAACTCAAAAACTTACTAATTAACTTATGTCCTTGACTTGACTATATGAAACCTTAT